ACCCCAACAATCCACTATTACGATGACTTTTTTGATGAAGTGATTCCAAACTGGAGACGAACGTGTAGATTATCTTCTCGTGATACTTTTCGACCACATACAGATTCCCTTGTCGATCGAATGACAAGCCTTCGGGAGCATGCAACTGGTTTGCTTGTCGTCCACGGCCATTTCCACCAGCAATCACTTCACCTTGTGAAGCTTCGTTGCACCAACGCATCACCCGATCACTCCCCGAAGATACCACATAGACAGTGTCGAATGGATCAACAAATATTCCTCGAGGCCAGTGTAATTGATTCAGAGCGTTCCCACGACCGTAACGAAGCCCGTCGCGAACGTCTTCTCTCAAGCCACCGGCCACGACAATGCCTTCTTTTGAACCCTTCATCCACTTCATTACACGATTATTGGCAAAATCGGATACGTAGACAGAATGATCTCGATCGACGAAGATGTTGCTGGCCCAGCGGAGTTGATTCAGTCGATTACCTTGTCCATGGCCACCAGCCACAATGATTCCATTCGTGTCTCCCATTCGATATCTTGTCACTCTGTCTTCACCAGAGATGTAGAGAAATCGTTGATCGTCCATAGTCAGTCCGAAACAGTCGATGTTGTTGATGATGATTTCTCCACTTGTTCCATTTCGACGAGGCCACCGCATCACTCGTCGATTTTTCCAATCACAGATAATGAGGCTGTTTGTCTCTTTGTCGATAATCACATCTGACGGCCTGTTCAACTGATCAGAGCGATTTCCTTTTCCATTTCCACCAGCCACTAGTTGACCACTCTCATTACCCAACTTCCACTCGACGATTCGATTATTACCATAGTCAGCGATGTAAATGCACTGACTATCTTCATCGAGGTACATCCCGTAAGGATTACTCAGCTGACTCAGCCCATTGCCACTCCCGTTTCCACCGGCGACTGTAACGCCGTCCCTTGCCCACCAGATATAGTTCCAACCGACTAGAACAAATGCATTCTAATTTCGATCGAAAGAACTGAAAAGAGGATACGCGACCCCATTCCAGCATTATGGAATTTTGAGAACTTTCAAGTTTCTCAGTCTTCGGACATTTCTATCATCTGAAGAAAATGTGCAAGCTAAGAATGAAAACAGTAGCTAAGAATCCAATCATCTCTAAGAAATCATAACCATAAATACCTTGAAAATGTGTCTTCTAAACGGCATGTCATAGGACTGAACATTAGACTGCAATGATTTCTTGACTCAATGTGAAGAGTACTCAAATTCAAAACGACATTTTACTGTTCTCTAAGAAAAGCACTTCTGTATTCTGGGCAAAGAACGTGTGGTCGAAAAGTATCACGAGAAGATAATCTACACGTTCGTCTCCAGTTTGGAATCACTTCATCAAAAAAGTCATCGTAATAGTGGATTGTTGGGGTTCCTTTTTAGTACAGAAGAAAAATCATCATAGCAACTCAAAAAACTCAAACCATAATAATAAAGTCTCCTTGAAAATTCCAAAATTATGCAGGTCCTGTTAGTGTACGAACTGTATCGCTCAGCTGAAATCAGTCGAGCTCACTTTTCTCTATTCATTTTTGCAATACGTTCATCTGAGTTTGATCAAATGATGATGCCCCATCGATCAGCCGCTCCTGAAGGATCAAAGTTCCTAATTTCACATTCCGAGTATTCTTTAAGTAAAGTGAGAGATGCTGGACACTCCATGGTTGAATTATTTGTCCATTTACTCACTTAGATGCTATCTTCAACACGTTAAACTATTCGCTCGTATGATTCATTGAAGCTTGACCTCTAGGCATGAAATAACTGCTCAATATATTATACCCTTCAAAGTCGTCACAGTGACTTCCACACCTTCCTGGATTATATTTCCTAGTCATCTCTCTCCATCACAATATGTGACGCTAGAAAATGCACACACACACAATCGGAAAATAATCTGATAAAAATCCGATTGGTCATCGATTAAAAACAGCATGAGAGTGAATCTGTAATTTTGGGGCACATACACTTGAAGGATAGATAAATACATCATTGATTCTCCTGAAAAATGTCGAAAATAAACATGTCAAAGGAAAAAATAACGAAAATAGAGGCGCCACTTATGAAAGCATTTGCATATCTGCTGGTGCCTTTGCTTTCGACTTTTTTCAGATTTGCCACATGATTACATTGAAGTGAATTGTAGATATAGTTGCGTACATGGATTTGTCGACACGTGATAATGAAGTGTTCGATGAATCTTCGAGAGTACAATTTATATCCATACTCACGCAACTCACGCTTCTGAAAGTCAACGCTCACTATTTTAGAACGGACTATCGAGAGTAGGTCTCCAAATACTCCGTCGATTTCGAAAAGAGATGAGTTTCAAAAGCCAGGCTCGTGTGAATGATGATTATCCCAGAAATGACGTAAGTGTTTCGACCTGTAGGTAAGAGATATTGAGTCTTCAGGGCTTCTTTTTCTCGGGGATCAGGCTTTCGTACTCAAATTCGCTTTGGCTTACCATTCTCATTACTTCATGATCATGCTGATTTGACGCCCAAGATTTTGAACTCTGAAATAAGCTGAAAGCTCTCAAGGGAACACATTGGAAGGAGTTTTTTGAAGAGAGGGTTAGTCTATTTTCGACATCAACACGATTTTCATGAAGAGAAGGTGTGTATTGACTAAGAAAGTGTTAAATATCAGCCTGTCACTGAAGAATACTACTATCAATTCTAAAATAAAATAGTCATATCTGAAGAACACTGCTTGACAATGATAACGAACTCATGACTAAAAGCAGGAAGCTCAGGAACCTGAATGCTTGAATTCGGAAGCGTGAAAGTAAATTTGCAAGCACTCGACTATATGACATGACCGGAATGTTCAGAGAACCCCCGTCTCATGCAGACATGTGGTCTTATCTCAAAACAAGCCACAGAACAGAGTGTCAGACAAACTTAACTCTCTCAGTTTTTGAAAATCCTCGAGACAGCGCCTTTTATTACTCTGAACAGAATCAGATGGAAAATACCCTAGAGATCCTATCTACGTCAAGACTTCCTCAGCCATCCCTCTCTCAAAACAGGAGTGCGTCTCTAGAATGAGATATTAGGACATCTCCAAAATCTAACATAACAGGTACTACTCCGAGTCTCAAACCGTCGAATGCTTTCCAATAATTAAAGATCTTTCGCTAACTGCCGCTTCTTTTCATTACCTATACTTGAGGGTAGAGTGAATATCAGACTAGAATTGTTGTACAGTTAGAGCGCTAAGGGTAATCTAGAAAATTATATTACAATTCGCTGTATGATATTTGCTACTCGCTTTGGAACATTTTTTTCTTCGATTTATCTCTCCTTTCAGAGTAAAAACTCACGAGATTTTATGTGAAGTTAAGTCGATGTTCATGTGCGTCACTGCTTCTTTTTATTATCATTAGTAGAGATTCAGTCAGTTCGTCGACGGGATAATTCACTAGTAATGTATCAATACGATTGTCGTCTATGCTAGTTGCATGATGAAAAAAGGATCTAAGCAGATCACTGTTCTCGGGCGTTGTCGGACAAGTACAACTCAGACGATGAGAATGAGTACAGAGCAACTAGTGGGTCCATTGAGACAGTCACGATAGATGAAACAGGTGAGAAAACTGTTAAATTGCTCGCATATTTTTTGCTTACTAGTAGAGTCATTCGTAGTTGCCATAGTCGTCGAATAGTCAAAATACGTGTGTTCATCAGTAACAATCTAGAAATAGATTAACCCTTTACCCCCCATGGAGGTTCCAGAAGAGCCACTGATAAAATAACTTTATTAATACAGTACTACCCTCGCTAGTATGCAAATGGCATAATCTGATCCATCGGATGTTCTTCTCCAAT